CGGCGACCACATAGCCGCCAGACAGGCCACCAGGCCCAGACGACGGGCGGCGACGAAACGGCGACGGCGACCACATAGCCGCAGGACCGCCCACACGGCCCAGTTTTTCAGAGCACAAGTGCAAACAAGGGTATTCAATGATCCCCAAGTGCAAGAAGCATTGTTCGGGGAATTCTGGGGCAAATCAATCTTGTAATCGACCTCAGATTCGAATCGTCCCCCGTCCTTCCTGCCCCACCTTCTTCGCCGTAGTCGCCATTCCTTTTCCATCCTCCCATCTCCGTCCTCCCTGCTTCCGTCCCCCGTCCCCTCCGCACGCTCCACCCTCCCTGCTCCTGTTTTTTACTTTTGCGGCACGCCGCGGGACGAACACTCGCAGCGTCAGTCCTGGCGGGCCGCCCTCGCCTGCCCCGCCGCGCCCGTAGCCAGGCAACGCGCAGTGCTGGAAGAGAGAGACGCCCAACCACAACTGACAGCAGCAACCCTGCTCCTGTCTACCTCCATTTTTCGTGGATCTTCGCCGTGCCGCCCTCATCGCCGATGTCGTCGCCGTCTCGTCCTCATCCTCGTCGTCGCCTCGTGGTCGTCGTCGCCGTCGTCGTGGTCGTCGTCGTCGCCGTCGTCGTTGTCGTTGTCGTTGTCGTCGTCGTCGACGTTGTCGTCTTCGTCGTCGTCTTCGGCGCCCTTGTCTTCGGCGCTGTTGGCCAGCCCTTCCGCCATCGCGGGCCGGGGGGCTGCCGCCCAGCCCGCGGGGGGGGGCCCGCGGGGGCCCCTCTTCCCCGCAGAGGGGAGACGTGTCGCATTAAGTCGGGCGCGTCCCTCTACAGGAGGAAATATCCAGAAATAGTTAAAACATCGTCAGAAGGTTTTTTTCTCTCGTAGTTTTTGATAGTTCTTGATTCTATGTTATGTTTCTTCCAATTCCCGCCTGTAGGGGGACATGCCCGACCTCAACGTAGGACTCCCCAGCGCGAGGCTTGCCTGCTGGGTTCCCGGTTCCGGGTCCCCCGGTTACTGGTCATTGGTTTTGGGCCGATTTCGGCGGGGTCCGGGTTCCTTGGTTCCCGGAATCCGGGTCGATCTCCCATTTCTTCGTCGATCCATTCATTCAAACCATCCACTCATTGGGGTTGTTCTCTAGTGTAATGTCGCATTCCCCGGCGAGGTTTGCTCAAGCGGCGAGAGTTGGGCCTGCGCCGGTCGGCTTTCCCCGGTTTTCGTTCGTCTTGTTTTTTTTCGGCTTTGGTCACTGTAGGCCTTGGTTCGTCGTTGCCTCTCTCGGGCTCCTCGGTCTCAGTTCTTTGGTGCCTTGGTTGTTGGCTCCTTGGCCCTTCGGCGTCGGCGTTGGTTATGTGATGCCCTTGCCGGGATCCTTGGTCTCGATTCCTCGAGCTTGGTTCCTTCGTCTTTGGCCCGATGAATCTCTGGTATTGGATCTTTGGTTTCTTAGTGTGTTGGCTGCGGTTCCTTGTGTCCTCGGTCTTGGTTCCATAGGACCTTGGTTTTTGTTCCTTGAGTCCTTGGTATTCGATTTCCCTTTGGTCTTGTTGTTCGGTCTTGGTTCTTTGGTGTTGGTTCTTTCTTGTCTCACCACGGCACGCCATGCAAATTGCCAAACAAAATTCTCAGCCATGTTGTGCAACGCCAGGCAACGAAACACAACGCCAGTCAATATGCCAACCATATGCCAACCGTACGCCAACCATTCCACTGCCATGCAATGTGTAAGGGAATGCCAATCGATGCCACGCAATTCCGAGCTATGCCACGCACCGCCATGCAATGCCACGCAGTGCTGCACAGCGTCAATCCATTTGCGAAGCCATGCGCAACTCGCAGTGCAATCGATGCCATGCAATTCCAGACAATGCCACGTACCGCCAGGAAATGCCACGCAATGCCGCACAACGCTGCGCAATGTGCCAAGCCATACGCCACGCGAAGCCAAGCAATTTGCCACAAAATGCCCATTAATGACGCGCATTGCCAAGCAATGCCACGCACCGCCAAGGAACGTGTGTGGCAATGCCACGCAATGCGCCTGTGCAGTCGGGAGCCCTCCCCGAATTAGGGTTGCGCCGGGAGCCTTCCGTTTTGTGGGGAGAATATTTACCCTAACCAGTGCTGGCCAGAAGGGTTGGCTGGGTTTTTTGTGGCGCCTCGTATTGGTGAAGCGACAAACGGGGGGCTTCGAAGGCTGCAGCAAAGGGGCCCCGAGAGCGCACGAAATGTGCATCCCTGTTTATCCGTTGCCCTTCCATCGAGCAGCGCCCGAGGTTGGGTGGAGAGCTTGCCGAGGTGGCCGTTCGATGGGTAGCTTTCTTCCTCAGCGCAGCGCACGGCTGGCAAATTCTTTATCATCGGCCACGCAGAGGGGGGGTAGAAGGAGGGGGGAAGGCTTCTTAGAAGCACCCCTGCTTCTTAGAAGGCGCTGGCCTTCTCTATAGACGTAAGGCCGGGGCCTTCTAAGAAGCAGGGGTGCTTCTAAGAAGCCTTCCCCCTCAGGGCCCCTCCTCCTACCCCCCTTTGCGCGCCGCTAAGATCAGTCGAGGATGATCGCAGTCGTCGGCCCTCGCTCCGCCCCGCTGTCCCGCGGCGGCCGGATAGTTTCGTCGGTCGTCGGCCTGCGGTGGATGGGGCCAGGTCGGCGCCGCTCTCCTGTGGAGGCGGGGGTCTGTCCAGATCCACCGCCCGGGGAACTGCAATCCTGCGACCCCAGTGGCCGGTGGATGTCCTGGCATCTCTCGGACGTGTGCATTTTTTTCTCGGCGAGAACCATCGAGGACCATCCTGGACCATCGCGCAAAAAAAACGCACGAAACCGAAACATACACGGGACATGGACGTCCGAGCGATGGCAGGATGTGCGTGTGTGTGGGCCGCCATGGGGCCCAGACGTGTCCACGGCTAGCATTGTTCCGAGGTCCCCGACGACGGGTCCCCCACCAGGCGGTGGTTATGGACGTCTCTCCCCGCCTCGGACACCACAGATGGCTCTGGCCACTCTTGGGAACGCCATGTGTCTTTCCGTTCTGCATGTGGGCTCCAGACCCTCGACTTGCTAAAAGCGGTAAAAAACAACGCGACGGCGTTTTAGCGTTTTTCGGTATTGTTGTTTCGTGTTTTCAGGACTGTCGCTGTGGATCATTTTTTTTAGCATTTTATGTGTTTTGTCGAAGGTGGTTCCTTGTCTTCGCTGCCGTCTTCGCTGCCGTTTCTCGTTTCTGCCGCCGCTGTCCCTCACCGAGCTAAGACTGGGGAAAGGCGCTCCAGTACAGGCATCGCGCCTAGTAGGGACGCGCGCCTTCATCTAGGGTACCCTTGTGTCCTTGCCTCTGAGGCTCGTCCTTGCCATTATCACTGGTCGCCCGCCGCCCAAAAAGTCCCCACTTCGGCCTCCAAGGGTCTTGCGTCCTTACTAGGAAGGCACCAACTATACACCAACACCGATCCTGGCCAGGATCACCCTGGGCCCAGGATCGGTGTATACGCCCTCCTGCCTTGCGCAAGAAGGCATATACACCGATCCTGGGCCCAGGGTGATCCTGGGCCAAGATCGGTGTTGGTGTATAGTTGGTGCCCTCCGATCTTGCGTCCTTACCTCGCGTCCTTGCTATACGTCTTGACTGTGCCGGTCCAGCACTGGCCCGAACCAGGCCACGGGAGGCCCACTGGCCCCGAGGAAGGGCCGCATCGGTCTTCGGGCCCGGAGGCCCGACGCCCAGGGGAGGCGCGCCGAGGACGGCGAGCAGTCGGACTGAGAGAGGGCACGCCCAGGCGAAGGAACAGAGGACGTCGTAGACCGCAGTGTTATCGGAGGGCACCAACTATACACATACACCGACCCTGGCCCAGGATCACCCTGGGCCCAGGATCGGTGTATATGCCTTCTTGCGCAAGGCAGGAGGGCGTATACACCGATCCTGGGCCCAGGGGGATCCTGGGCCAGGATCGGTGTTGGTTTATAGTTGGTGCCTTCCTAGCCAGTTGGTATGAGCACGCTACGAACGTAGTCAGAAACGCGAAATGCACGAATCTCAGGAGCGTTGCATCTATACCTATACCGTTTTCTCTCGGAGTTTGCGTCAGAGCGAGCCGCGTATCGCGTGGGCGACGGCGTTGTGAAAGAGTGCGCATCGCAAGCCTGTTGAGTTGAATGTTTTTTTCCTCTATTGGACGTAGATGGTCGCAGCAGATGTCCCACCCTCTCGTGGAAACCAGGAGAAGACATGTATAGGTATAGATGTTTGCGTGCGTGTTTCGCAAAACGTCCATGCCCAACCTTGCCCGTACCTAATTTCTCTTGGCAAGTTTCCGACATCGCTCACATCCGTGATTTCTCGGGGGCGCCATTGCAACCCGCAGTAGCGGGGTGATGATGGGCGCGGTGACGGCATTGCATTTCCGCGGCTGGAGGCTTCTGCGGAGCGCTCGGTCGATTTCTTGCAAGCTTTTGTTGAGGCGAGACGGGTATAGGTATAGATACTTTCATCGTCATAATCGTTGTTTTAAGTAGCGTGTTTAGTATAATTTCTTGTTCGGACCTGCAACCGCAAAAGCATGATGTCCAACACGCCGAGTTAAACACGGTAGCAAAAACGCCTTGGACATGTTTAAGAAGAGACTCGCAGAGGGGGTTGGAGCAGGTAATGTCGGACGATCGCGTTGCGTCGCCGATGCATCGGCGATGCGTCTCGATGTGGAGCCCGGTATCCACGCCGCAGACGTGGCCCATGCATCGCCGACGTCGTTGCCTCGGCGATGCACCGGCGATGCGGCGCGATCCTCCGACCCCATGTGCTCCGACCCCATCTGGGAGGCCTAGACTCCAGAATTGACTCACCCCGTCGAACCTACGACCATTGCTCAGAATCTCCCTCACATCTTCGACCATCCTACGTAGTATGCTTCGTAGATTCGACGGGGTAGACCACTTCTGGCCCGGCCCCCTCTGGGAGGCCTCCACCCCCGCCTCGGGCTTGCGCCCCCGCTGCCGGGAGGCGTCCTTCCTGCACGGCGACGCCGAGCTCCTCCCGACGCAGTGCGCCCTCGACCTCGGCGCGCGCCCGTCGCCGTCGTCGTCGCTGTCGTGGTCGCCGTCCGTTGCCGTCGGTCGTCGGCGCCAGGCGCCGTCAGCGTCGCCGCCCGTTGTCGTTCGTGGTTCGTCGGCGGGCGTCGCCGTCCCTCGCCGTCCTCGCCGCCGGGCGTCGTTGCGCCGTCGGCCGCCGTCCAGTCGTCGTCCGGCGACGCCCCCAGCCGTCGCCGTCGTCCGCCCCCCGCCGTCGCTCGCCGCCCTCACGGCCCGTCGCCCAGTTTCCTCCGTCGCCGCTCTCGACCCCAGCATGCGAGTTGGGGGGAGCGATTGCAGAACTGATCTACCCCGTCGAAACTACGAAGCATACTACGTAGGATGGTCGAAGATGTGAGGGAGATTCTGAGCAATGGTCGTAGGTTCGACGGGGTGAGTCAATTCTGGAGTCTAGGCCTCCCAGATGGGGTCGGAGCAGATGGGGTTGGAGGATCGCGCCGCATCGCCGATGCATCGACGATGAGGCTCCATGAGGGGCCCGATTTCCTCCACGCCGACGTCGCCGATGCATCGCCGATGCGTCACCGATACGTCGCCGATGTTTCGTCGACGCGGCGCGATCCTTCGGCCCCGTCCACTCGGACCCCGGGAGGCCTCTGTGCAGTCGACCCCCTGCTCGAGTCGGCCGCGCGGGCGCCCCCCCGTGGGCCGCCCCCGCCCGCTCCAGGCCCCGGGGGCCGCGGCGGCCGGCTCTCCGCGGAGGCCCGGGCAGGCCCAGATCGCCACACTCAAGCAGCGGCGAAGCGTCCTGGCTCGCCTATATCGGGGGCGGAAAAGAGGGGGGTGATGACTAGGGGGGGGTGGATATCATGGCGGGGGCCATGATATTTCCCCAGATTTCATGGCGTCTCTTCTCATTTCATTACGTCCCTGGCCCCCCCGCTGGGCCGCGCACATGCCGCCGGTCATGATTTGCACCCCCCCCTTTTGGACACCCTCTCTTTGCCGCCCCCGAGTGGCATATCGGGGAAGTCGAGGTGGGTCCGGAGAGAAATGGGCCTATGCACGTCGGGTGCGGAGAGAAGTGTGTGTGGAAAGAAGAGGGTGCGGGAGTGCTGGCTGCGGAGAGGGTTCGGGAGTCGAATGGGTACGGAGGGAGATGGGTACGGACATAACGGGTACGGAAAGAATGGGTATGGAAGATTGACACTAGATTCTCTTCACTTGGAGCATGCCTCGCTGTGCGCGCCGCCGCGGACGTTGTCCACTGAAGACGAAAAAGCCGCCCACACAATAGCGGCCGCCGTCAGTTTTGTGCGACATGTGAGCGTTTTTTTTACTCGGCGTTTCGACATTAGGCGGAAGGGGTGGGAGGGGGGGGGTCTGGCTCCGGACCTCTGCTCAATGCGACTGTTCGCGGCAGTGCGTCCCATAGAGGAGGCTCCACCTGCCTGAAGCAGGCGCCACAAACAGCCAAGAGCTGCTCCATGAGGGGGGGAGGGGGGCAGTGCGAGGGCCTGCGCCGATCGGCGAAACCAGGAATACGACAACGATCGCCACGTGTTGTGGGCGTCGTACCCATTTTCTTCATCCATTTCGGGCGTCCAAAAAGCAGCTGCTGCCCGTTGGTCTTCCTCCGTCGCCATCGGGTCGCCCTTCGTCGTCGCGTCGTCGTCGCCGTCCCGTCGTCGTCGACGTCCGGCTCATCTCTCGTCGGCTGACTGCTCGGGGCCGACTGTCGCTCAGAGTGCTCCGCTCGCCGTTCCGCGGGCGCCATCGCGGGGCCGCCGCGGGTGCCGATGCATCCAGAAAGGAGAAGGCCTTTTCAGAAGGTTCGGAAGTCCCCCTGAGAAGTTCTCTAAGCCTTCTCGAAAAGCAACAAGAGCTTCTCAGAAGGCGCGAGGGCTTCCGAGAAGTCCCGCTGCCTTCTTAGAAGACCTTCTCCTTCTCGGTTTGCCTCCTCGCTCGCCGCCGAGAATCGTGTGTTGGGGGGGGGGGGCGGTGCCCAGACATGTGGCGCGTTTGTCACCGAGCGCGTTCCTCTACTCGCAAAGTGCCTACTCGCAAACGTCAGAAAAAGGCGTGTCTGCATCCATGTGATTTATCGTAGATAATCCCGCGGAGGATCGAGGCCGTTTGCAAGGAGTTACGCTGCGAGCAGCGGAACGCGCTCGTCTGGTTTGGTTTCTGGATGCGCGGGCCCCTGCACCTCGGGGCCCCTGCCTCAGGGTGGGGCGTGTCTGGCGGCCCCGACCCAGCCCATGTGCTGACGGCCCCGAGGCCCGAAAGTTTGGCTGTCGTCGGCCACGGAAATGACGACAAACAGGCCGCGCTGATTTTTGTCGAGGCGCCCAGCCTCTGAGGAGGAGGAGGAGGAGGAGGAGGAGGAGGAGGAGCAGGAGGACAAGGAGGAGGAGGATGAGGAGGAGGAGGATCCCGACGGTATTGACGAGTTTTGTAATCGATTTGAGGGGTTCAATGCAGATGAATCGAGGTGAATCTATGTAAAAACTTGTGCGAATCCGGATGGATTGAGGCAAATCCAGAGATATCCAGATACTTCTGGCGACATCGTGGAAGCTGCAGCGCGAGTCGAGGTACAGAAATCGTGAAACCCTCAACGACAGGAGGACGAGAAAGAGGAGGAGGAGGAGGAGGAAGAGAAAGAGGAGGAGGAGGAGGAGGAGGAGGAGGAGAAGGAGGAGGAGGAGGAGGAGGAGGAGGAGGAAGGTGAGGGGCTTCGGGCCTCTCTCTGTGCGGGGCAAGCCGAGGTGGGTCTCAGCTTCCCCCCAGGGAGGCTGGGGACCATGCTCGGGCCCCTCCCCACGCGCACGCCCGCCACCTGCCGCCAGCAGCTTCGCCTCCTTCCCAGGTTGGGAGGGGCAAGCCCTACCTCCAGCCTCGAACCTCCAACTTCCAGCTCAACGCCCCGACTACTCCTGTCTCCCACCACCCGCCCCCCAGATCCCCCCTGTAGTTATCAGCTGTCAGTTTCACGCCCACTCTTCGAGATTCACCCTCCGACCTTCAGCCTCATCAGTCCGATATTAGCGTTCAGCTTTGAACCTACACCTTGAACCGCTCCAGCTTCAGCACTGGACCTTCCATTTCCGCCTCCAGCCTTTGACCCACAGTGACACACGTCCGGTCTCAGTCTCCTCCTCCTGATCCTCGACCCCACCAGTCCGTCTCCCAGCCTCTAGATTCCGACTTCCACCCCACATTGCCACCTCAGCATTCCGAGCTTCAGCTGCCAGCATTCGACCTTTTCCTTCATCCCCAGCCATCGACCTCCAGTTCCACACGCCTGCGCTCCGACTCGCACTTTCGAACCAACCAGTTCGACCTCCAGCCAGCACCCAGCCGCATAACTCCAGCTCCCAGCACCACCTCAGCATTCCGATTTCCAGACTCAGGCTCGCAACCATGAAGATCTTCGTGTGAGTCAGCGTTCTACGGGGGTTGAGAGGCTACGGCATCAGCTTTGCCCAAACGGGCACAGGAGGAGGAGGAGGAGGAGGAGGAGGAGCGGAGTTGCCCTCGTACGGTAGCAAATCACGGAAGCCTTGCATGTCTTCAGAGTTGAGTTTTCGGGTTTGCGTTACGTTCGAGTGCGCCAGCATCTGGCGGTGCAGATCTAGCGTCGAAGCGCATCGAGGCGGCGCCGGCGTGCGTCGGTCAGGGCCGACTCGCGAGGGCCCCACGATGGCACGGCAGGCTCCCGTGAGATGCCACCGAACCCTCGTCGCCCTCCTTGTCCTTCCCGGCGGGCGGGGGCGAGCGCGGCAGGCTGGCGGCCTGGCGGCGCCGTCCTCACCGTGCACGCGGCGCCCTCGGGGGCAGCGGGCGGGGCCCGGCCGGGGGGCGGCTCCGGGCCCCCGGTGGCACGAACGATTCTCGGGAGCGCCAGGGATCGGGGAGCAGGAGCTGACGTCATCCTGCACGCCTCGCGTATCCCCACCAGCCCATACAGAAGCGCTCACGGGCAGCCCATACAGCCCATGCAGAAGCGCTGCCCGCGAGAGCGGGCGGGGAGGAGGAGGAAGAGGCACAGGCAGCGAATCAGAGCGGGCAACCATGCTGGCGAGGGAAGAGGGCGGGCGGGGAGTAGAACGAGGATGCGGAGGAAAAGGACGAGGACGAAAAGGATGTCGAGGAAGAAGTGAAGGACGAGGAGGACGAGGACGAGATGGATGGCTTGGACGATGAGGGGAAGGCGGACGAGACGGAGGATGAGGACTCGGACGGAGGGTGGGAATCCGCGGAGGAGGAGGGGGAGGAGGAGGGGGGAGGCTGAGAAGGAAGAGGCGGAGGAGGAGGAGGTGGAGGATGAAAAGGAGAAAGAAGAGGAGGACGAGGAGGAGGAGGATGGGGGGGAAGAAGAAGGAGGAGGATGAGGAGGGCAAAGACGGGGAGAAAGAGGACGAGGACGAGGACGAGGGTAGGGAGTAGAACGAGAATGCGCTTGAAGAAGGACTGGGACGATGATAATGACGACGACGAGGAGGAGAGGAGGAGGACGAGGACGAGGATAATGCGGATGAAGACGATGAGTCTGGCAGCCATCTCGGGATCTCGCGTGGGGTATCCGCGCAACGTCGCCCAGAATCCGTGGGGTCGCGGCCGACGAGCCGCGGCCGAGGAGTCCAGACATCGAGGCAGTGAAAGCGGTTGAGTTTTCTGGCCTCGATTTATGTTGTTCCCATCGTACTTAAGGACCACATCACAGAAGTAATTTCGAGCACCCAGAAAAGTATCGAAACAGTGTCGAACGAGTATGGCCTCCCAGGGCTCGACACGTGAACACCTTCAAGTTTCGGTACATTCTTGGTGCTCGAAACTTCGTGGTGATCAGGACTAAAGTAGGTTGGAACATCTTAACTCGAAAGGAGAGTAAGGATGAAGGAGAATGAGAGCGAGGAGGAGGTTCCTGGATCGAGGAACGAGGTTCTTGGACTCTCTTCCTCACTTACGGGCCTCAGGAATGCTTCTCGTCGCCGAGGCTGAATCCGCCTGGTCGGGCGACGGTTGACCCCGATCGCCCGAGGAGGGTAGGGTGGTTTATAGCGATGGTTGGCCCCCGCGGGCCGCTTTAACATTCACAACTTGCAGGTGAATCTAGCCTGGTGAAGGTGGCGTGGCCTCCAGTCTGTACGATCGAATGGGGACGACACCGACAGCAGTGCTTCCACATCTTGAACAGGGCTCGCTGTCGGTGTCGCCGCTGGCGATTCCCCTGTGAGACACAAAGTCGCCTGACCCAATATCGGCCGTCGTCGGCTCTGCACAACGAGAACGTGCTGTTGGGCATGGTCGACATTTGTTTCCTTAATCCATTCTGGGCGTGCCAGTCCAGGAACCCCCATCGCACGTGTCGCGAGGGGGTCGACCGACGGGTGTTGCCGCGGGCGGCAGATGTTCAGGAGGGGAGGGGGCAAAAACACAAAGACACAATTAATCGTCGATTCCCAATAAAATATATGAAAATATGGGAAGTGGGGGGAATACGAACATCATGACAATATAAAAAAAAATAAAAAATCCCGGGATTTGTTTTTATTTGTGTGTGTGTCCTAGGGCCCCATTAGATGTCTAGGCTGCATCTTCGGGACCCGCCGCGGGGGTTCGAGGTGCACGGTTCTGGACTGCTCTCCTGCTTTGTTGGGCGGGGGCCAACCGGGACGTTCCTCGTCAACACGCCTCGATTCGCTCCCGAATCCTGGCAAAGGCTTCTTCGATCCTTCGGACATGCCTGGGGGGGGGGCGACATTCGTGTTTAGGAGGGGGGGAACGATCTGCCAGACCGTCATCGGATTAGATGGACCACTCCCGACGTGTTTCATCGATGTGGGCCTCCAGGGTAAGTTTTCGGGCTTCTGGTGGCTCCGAGGCAAGCGTGGTCCTCTGGGAGTTCAGTGGCACAACAGCAGGTTGCCCCACAGCAGTCTGCTGTCCCGGACCAAGGCCTCCAGCGCGGCAAACAAAGCAGCAAAACAACGGCTTGATTTTGGAATTCAGCCCCCCTGGGGGCCAATTCTGAACCCCAGGACAGAAAAGCACAACTACCACCACCACCGCGACGACCACCATCACAGAGAAAACACGACTGCCACCACCATCGACTTTGGCATTCGAGGCACCTCGATTTCTTGCCCCCCCCCCGATGTGCTGCCAACATCGCAGGATGGGCGAGGCGGCCCAGCCCGCCTCGATTATGCACTGGCGCTTGGCGCCAACGCCGCCCCATCGTCAGCCCCAGGCGCGGCACGGAGATCTGGGCGGGGTGGTTTCCTGGAGGGGGTAAGTGGCATTCTTTGTTTGACTGGAGGCCTAGAGGTTGGCACCAAGAGAGCGT